ATTTTGTAGAACCAGCATACTGCACCCGCAGCTTACTAGGATAGAGCATGCTGTATTTCAGGCCTTTGTCACGAAGTTGGTCGGTGGATATCTAGGAAGGCGCGCCTTTGCTATTGTAGGTCAGGGGAGAAATCAGGAAAAAGCATGATGGTAGCATTTTGGTAGAGCAACACCATCTCTCGTCGTCTGGCTGTGCCAAGAATCAGATCCCTTTCCCTGAAGTTAAGAAGACGGACCAGGAAGGGGTGAGGTGCAGATCCAGGAGGTCTCGGTGTTGTAGGGACCCTGTATGCATGCTCCACAATGTAGGCCACAGAGACCGCCCGCAGGTCTGGGAGATCTCTAAAGAACTTTTCAGCAAAGGACGCAGGATCAGGGACCTCAGCCCCCTCTGGTAGTCCCACGACACGAACATTGTTGCATCTCAACCTGTTCTCAGCATCCTCAGAGGGTGCAGTTAACTGTGCCACCGAACGCTGTAGGTCCTGCAGCGTTTGTGACTGAGCCCCTGAGGTGTCTTCCAGCATCCCCACCTTAGTCTCCACAGATGTAATGCGGCTCCTGATTTTATCAAGGTATTGTATGATAAGGCCACATTCAGTAGCCAATATGTCAGTCCTGGCTATCAGGGTAGTTTTTGCTGGCCTCTATCGCCGCTAGTTTGGCATCTGTGGCCAATGGGGAGCCAGGGGTCTGAGCCAAATGGGCCTTGGAGGGATCCATGAGGGAGGAAGCTGAATCTACGGCCACCCACTCAGTAGTCTGTGTGCCAACCGACATGAGAGGAGCCGTTCGTGCAGCCAAGATAGCGCCGGCGCACGTGTCAGACGAGGAGGCTACAGGTAAGGTAAACCCACAGCTACAGGTAAGTGTTAAATGTTGCTCGGTAGCCACCGAGGAGCAGGATTAAGGGACGGATGTGGAGAGCTGCAGTGAGGCACGTCTTCTCACGCTCACATCCCAGCCACGCCCCCATGAAGTGACTAGCTTGAGCAGCATATTTAAGTATTGATTAAAGTTATTGAATAAAAAATATCCACAGTAGAAAGAATTACTTTTACAGAGCAGAGGAAAAGGCTTCCATCCTTTAAAGACACCAGCAAAAAACAGACAGTAGAAGGTGGTATAGCACTCACCCAACATCAGAATTATCTTAGCCACTTTTGCCAGTGATTGGGCCTTTGTAGTGGCACAGGGAAGGCAAACTGCAGACACTTCTGTCTCCTTCCAATCATAGAGGAGATCAGACAAGCTCTCCATTGCTCCATGTCTGATTGCTATTCTCCTGCTGTTTAACCTAAAAATGTAAGACCATAAGTCATCTAATGTCTATGGGTATCTATATTCTTAATTATGCTGTGCAGGGGCACAGTTTGAAGGTAACACAATTAGATAATTGACGTTATACTAGCCAATTATGTATTTATTTAGAGCAGTGATCATAAACATGACCAACTAAGCCTTCCAATCCTCTACTTTCCTTGCTTTAAATATTGGGATTGTTATAGGTCATCTTTTCTCTTTCCCTAGTACAGTATCAATAAGCGTGCAAAAGTTTTTTGCATCATAATGCAACAAATGTACTAAATACTATCTTAAATAGTTAATCAGTTTAGTCCGATTTTTACATTTTAAAACTTTTCCTGATTTATAGGATGTTCAAGTATACATTACATATTTTTATATTTTCTGTTGTAGGCAAATTTCAAGCTGTAGCACATATATGGTCTCTTTAACAACTATATTTTGACATTGTTTAAACAAAATTAACAGCGCTAGTAGGTGAATCAAAAAAACATATAATCGTGTTTGTGAACTACAAATCATAAAAAAAACACATCAATGCAAGTGCTGTTAATCAATAAAAAACACGGCACTGTAATAGTTAATAAACATGTGTACGATTTAGGAGGTGATTTTTAACCAAGTCCTTCTAGGTGTCTCAGTGTGTAAAAATAAAGTGGATCAGTCTATACACATTAAAAAAAGTCCTTCACTTTTTTTTACACCTTCATGTGCATTAATAACCTTAAGTGTGAAGGACTTTTTTAATGTGTGTAGACTGATCCACTTTTTTTTTACACACTGAGACACCTAGAAGGACTTGGTTAACCACTTGCCGCCCGCCCGTTGTAAAAAAAACGGACGGACGTCACTGCAGCATTGGCGGCATTTTTTTTTCTGCTCGCGGGCGCGCACGGGCAGAAAAGACCCGACCAATGCAAACACCCGTTACCGGGTGTTTCACATATAGACGATCGGCGGCTCCATAGCCCGCCGATCGTCTATATGCGCTCGTTTTTTCGGAAACCCCCTCCCCCCGGCGCGCGGAGGGATTGTATAGGGGGATTGTTATCCCCCTATATAATAGCAATAACAATAAGTGCAAAAATATATATATATAAATAAAAAAAAAAAAAACTCCCTCCGGGCTGTGAATGCAGAAGTGATGTGTGTTACATCACTTCCGCATTCACCTGTCAGTCATCTGGCTGCAATAGCCAGAGAAAAGAAGCTGATGAAGCAGATCTCTGCTTCATCAGCTTCTTTTGGGGTCCACAGGTGACAGGGGTCCTAGGTCCTAATGTCTCCATAAAGAGGACCTGTCAGTGTGCCTTTGCTATTATATAGGGGGGATATAGGGGGACAAATTAAAAAAATAAAAGTCACATATAAAAAAAGTAAAAAAACCACCCCCAAAATGTTTAACTCCCCCACGTTTACGCAGATATAAACGTAAATACGCGTCCGGTGCACCAGCGCGCAAAAACGACAATTGCGCTACACACGTTACATATGGCCGCGAATGTCGCAGTGAGAGCAATCATTTTAG